CAACACGCTCGCACGTGCCAGCTGATGCTGAAGTTGCGCTTCGAAAAGCACGCTAACAAGGTGATGAAAGCGCTGGAAAAAACTCAGGGAAAAACACAGGTAGGACTAGCGCTGAGAAGGGCGTGTTGGGGATGGTGTTCGAAACACAAACACAGGCCGGGGTTCTCACAGTTGCCTCGTCTCACAATGAAAAGATAAAACGCCTCTTTGAAACCGTCCCTAGTGAGAACACACAAAAAGCTCTTAAAAAAAAAAACAGAAATGCGACTGAAACACTCTGAACACAAAAACAATAACAGCAAAAAAACCGAAGTTAAGACTTAACATCTGAACGTTGATAGAAAAACACAGCGCTTTTTACAACCACAAGTAAGCCGATGTCTAATATTCTTAAACCAAAATTGCCAGGGGAGAGCGCGAACGCAGTCCCCCACTACCACAAATTATGCAGTCGAGTTTCCCACATTTGGGGAAATCGCAGGGGTCAGCACATCCGGAGTGCAATGGATAAGCCTCGCCCTGGGAAAACCACCTTCGTGATCATGGTATCTCCCCTGCCAGGTAAGTATGAGTTGCTCGGCCCGCCCCGACACGCACCCCCGCGCCGGTCCCGCTCCTTACGCACGGTCACTTCCCCCGCCCCGCCCCGCCACGCCGCCTCCCGCCCCCGCCCCCTGGAGGCCCCGCGGCCCCGCCTCGCCCACCCCCACGACCACCCCTACAGCGTCTGGATCTCCGCACGCGGGGCGGGACCGGCAGCCTCTGCGCGCGCGCTCATCTGCATGCGCCACGCCCTTGTCGTGACGTCACCGGCGGCCTGTCTCCCGCTCGGGGACACGGGACCGACGCGCCCCCACGGGAGACCCGACGAGTCCGGGACTCGGATGGGACGCCCGGGAAGACGGGGTCTCGCGGCGCCGGCGCCCAGCAGCTCGGGGTCCTCCGAGGGTGGCTTGGGTCTCGCCTTCCATTCACCGAAAAGAAAGTTTCAGCCCATTTTGTTTTCGCCAGCCAGACCGAACTTTCTCGCTTTACGCGATTACTAGAGAGAGGGGACCCCCCCCCCCACCCCGCAATGGAACATTTAAGTACTGAGATTTCCCCAGCCAATTTAACAGGGATCGTTTTTCCGTGGCGTCGTCCTGAGTGAGCCAGTCATAAACTGCATCACGTGAACTGCTGCAACATAGACAACAGCTAAACTCTCAGCTAAACCTCAGGGGAAATAAAAGGCAAGACTCTAACCTTGAAGAAAGAAAACCAGGACAAAGTACCAGCTTCACCCACTGTGCAGATTGTTCAGTGGTCGAGTTAAGTATATAATACTGGTAAACAGAAAGTATTTTAAGAAACTTAAAAAATTGGTAAATATACTATGTTTTACAGTCAATTCACGATTTCTGAAATATTCCACTTACTCTGTTCAACTTTCATTTTGTTTTTAGACAGTGAGGAAAACATTTTTTTACGTAGTAAATTGAGAACTTTTATATCTCTGCTACTCTGCCCATTGAGAGGTGGCATCTGTCGCTTTGCCTGGAATCTGGACTTAGTGACCAGCTTGACCAATAGAATGTGACAGAAGAGATGTTCTGGGAATTCTGAGGTTAGGTCAGAAGAAGCCGTGCAGCTTCCATCTGGGTCTTTGGGGTCCCTGTCTGGGAGACTTGAGCTGCCATGTAAGAAGGCTGGCTACTTTGGGGCTGCCATGTTGTAAAGAAGCCCCAGGCTTTGAGGAGGAAGATGTGCGGAAAGAGAATGCTCAGCCAGTCCCCAGCTGGTGCAGTCCTAAACTGAGACCCCAGAGTAATCCCTGCCAAAGCTGCAGATCTGTGATGAAAGTAGACGATTATTTTTGTTTCAAAGCTCTTAAATTTGGGGGTGGTGTTTTTGTGCAGCAGTAGAGAAATGGAACAGGAGACGAAGTAAGCAAACAATATGAAGTACAAGGGGGAAAAAGTGGATTAAGGGACAGAGAAGATGGGATGGAGAGAAGGGTTTGGGGTTGAGGGCTTAAAGTTTTCAACAAGGGGGTCAGGGAAAGCTCTCTGCTTCTCTCTGTTACACACTCCTGCTTTTTTTGGCTTGCTCATCATCATATATAACCCCCAAACAGCCACCCCCAAATGGCAGTCTCAGCCCCTTGAGTTTATTTGTCCTGTTAGAAGTCCTAGGAACCATAGGCAACTCTTTAGAATCTCTAACTCTGTTTTTTTTAAGACTTTATTTTTTTCCCTTTTTCTCCCCAAAGCTCCCCGGTATATAGTTGCACATTCTTAATTGTGGGTCCTTCCAGTTGTGGCATGTGGGACGCTGCCTCAGTGTGGCTCGATGAGCAGTGCCATGTCTGCGCCCAGGATTTGAACCGATGAAACACTGGGCCGCCTGCAGCAGAGTGCACAAACTTAACCACTCAGCCATGGGGCTGGCCCCCTAAAATCTCTAGCTCTTAATTTTAAGTTTATGGAAGTGAGTAAGTAGGTAAGTAATGGCCTAACTTTCATGGAGCAGAATGAATATAGACATAAGGGCATATCCCTGAGGAGGGCCATGATTCCCAGGAGAGGAAAAATGGGTTCCCCAACAGGTATCCCTTCACATCACTGTGACTCATGGGAGAGCACTGTACCTCTCAAAAGAGTTGGGTGGAATGATAGTTGAAAACCAGAAAAACACGTGGCATGTGTGAATAGGACATTATCCTACAACAGTTCAAAGCAGAGAAAGATCCCATGTAGAGGGAGAATCTGAAAAGGCATCATAGAAAAGGTACAGTGTGACTTCCCATAACTATGGCATCTCACGGCTAAAAGGTATCCTAAAGGGTCATTCTGTCTGTTTACTGACCCATGCATTGCTTGCAGAAGGATCGTGAAGCAGAGTTTGGCTGGTGGAATTAAAAGTAGTAGAGGGTGTGGGGGCCGGCCTGTGGTGGAGTGGTTAGGTTCCTGAGCTCTGCTTTGGCTCTGTTTCGCCAGTTCGAATCCTGGGCGCAGATGTGGCACCACTCATCAACCCATGCTGAGGCGGCATCCCACATGACACAATTAGAAGGACCAACAACTGAAAATGCGCAACTATGTACCGGGGTGGGGGGGCTTTGGGAGAAAAAGGAAAAATAAAATCTTAAAAAAAAAAAAAAAGTAGGAGAGCGTGCTTAGGGAATAGCATAAGCAAAGGTCTTGTCGTGGAAGGCATAACACAAATTCTTGAATCAGCAAACTGTGCTGGATATGTGTAGGGAAAATCAGTCTGGCGTGATGGATTGAACCACATTGTGGAGGGTCAAGAATGTTGCAAGATAAGGTGAACAGATCAGCCAACAAAGGTGAAATATTTGGACATTTTAGGAGGGAAATCATCCAGAGCCAAGCTGTGCTGGAAGAGGGTCACTCTGCTAGTAGACAGTAGCATGGATTGGAGAGGGAACAAAAGCAAAACAAGGCTGCTAATTAGGAGCCTGTATCAATAGTCAAAGTGAGCGGTGGGGGTATGGAAAGTGGATGAGAGAGATATTGCTAAGAGATCTACAAGACTTGGGAATTGAGGGCTCGTGGAGGGACAGAGAAGGAGTCAACCTAGATTCCAAGACTTTCAGCCTAGAGCAGTTGTAAGGTTGGAGGAAGTGACATAAGCAGAAATCAAGAGTCGAAGGTAGTTATTGGCTCAGCTACAGGAACGAGGTGGAAGATGCTGAGTTTGGTCTGGGCCTCCATTGACTTTGAATGGTCAGCGGTGCAGCAGGCGGAGGTACCTAGCCAGGCAATTTGAAATCCGAAGTGGTACTGGAGGAGAGGTCAAGGACCGCAGAAGACGGGGCAGTCATCTGAGTGGGATCATGCAGAGGGGAAAGTTGTCCGGAAGGAGGTAGGAAATCGAGTGGAGGCCAGTACAGAAAGAGGGGAGGAAATGGTCTCACAATCGAGAAGCTGTCATCTGCCTCAAGTATCGAGTGGAGTCGGCTAAGGGCTGAGCAAAGGTTGGGACCAGAAGAGGCCAAGAAAAGGTAATTAGGCGATAACTGGTGGCAGCCTAGCAACTTTCCAGTAGACAGACTGAGGAGAATAGTGTGAGTGCAAAGTACCCGCGCGTTGAAAAGAAAGGAGAAGGGCTTGAGGCAAGGAGGTTAGAGGGACATCGGGCGCTAGTGTCTGGGAACCTGCTGGCCCGGATTTCAGGCTGCATGTCCCTCAGCATCTAGATTTCTGCTTCTTCACGTCACGAGGGGAGACAATGCACGTAGAGTGTTCATCTCAGAGACTGCCACTCATGAAGGGGCTGATTACTATTTCCGGTAGTAGGGTAGCCGTTTCCAGCTGAGCAGAAACTGCGCAAGGCTGTGGTGGGACCCGGCGACCCGCCCCCTCTCCCCGCCCCCTCTCCCCGCCCCCTCTCCCCGCCCCCTCTCCCCGCCCCCTCGCTGGGGCTATCTGCGCAGGCGCGCAGGAAGGGCGCGGAAGTGCGGGCGGAAGTGGCGTGCGGAACGCTTTAGGGAAGGGACCCGCGCAGTAAACAGATACTGTGCGAACGCCTGTAGACGGTATCTGGGCGCGCAGGCCATCATGAATCGGTTCCAAGGTGACTATGACCCCTACGCAGTTGAAGAGCCTAGCGACGAGGAGCCGGCTTTGAGCAGGTGGGCCCCTGCCGCGCCCCGGCCCCGAGACTTCGGGCCGAGGCCAGGCCTTAGCCTCCTCCCCGGGCTGCGCCTGCCGGGCCCGTGCGGCCCCTCTCCCCAGCGGTTCGGGCGCTTGTCGCGCCCCGCTGTCCCCTGTGGGACGCCGAGGGGGTTCTGGTGAGGTCGCGCACCCACGGGGGAGGCGGGGCTGACACCCGCTCAGGGAAGAGGGATATTGTGGAATCACGCGTATGTCTTCAAAAGCCGTGAGATCGAATCTTGCCTGTGCAGCTTACTAGCAGTGTGACCTCAGCTTCTCATCTGTAAAAAGGAAATATAATAATTACATCGTAAGTATGTCGTGAGGCTCGTGGGATTTAATGTGAAATGACAATCTTGAAGACTAAACTGCCATAAACAGAAGTAAGGGAATATTTGACAGACCTTTTTTTTTGAGCACCTATTATGTGCTTGCTTTGGGCTACAGAGGTCAGTCATAAGATATTTGTCTTTTACGGTATAGAAGAGCTCAGACTCCTGTGAAGATTTCCGTGGTGGGGAGTGAGGATGCGTTCCAAGATTCCCTGTGAAAAAGCGTTTCAGTTAATGAGTCCGGTCTGTAAAGGGGGTATATGTAGGCTTCAATTAGTAATTCAGTTTGATTGAAATATAGCAGTGTTTCCTGGGCTTGAGTCATTCTGCCATTACCATCTCCATATTCACCTGTGTTGTTATTTATTTAATATTTTTCTTTAAGTCAATTTACATTTTTGTAGTTAAATTTCTTTAAGGAAACTTTGTAATCTTGTGACAGTTGCCACTGGTAAGGTGCCTATAAAAATAAATACTGTGAAAATGAAACAGTGTTATTAGTATTGCCTGCTCGAGGCTCTGCATCGAATGCTGCTTGTTTTAAAAAGGGCGATTGATGTTAGATGTTTAAGAGGTGTCTGTCAGGATTTGATTTTACCCTACTTGTAAGCTAATATTTTATAGCCTGTTACTGTTTCATGGAAGCTGGCAGAAGACGTGAGACTCCTGAGTCAGAGACAACTCACAGCACAGCAAACAGCAGGAGCATCAAGTTTGTGTTGGTTGCTCTTATTTCCCAACTCTTACAGGTGTTACATGGAGAGGCCCAGACGGATGCTACACATTCGGTGGGTTGGCATCCTGGCTGAGGACCACTTGGGCCTGGAGAATCCACTTCTTTTACAGCAGGCAGTAAATCAGCCTGTTCTTTGCCTTGGAAAGAGAGATTGCCTCATCCCTCAGGGTTGTTCACTGCAAACACAGGCCTGGGTGAAGAGTGTTCAGAACCTTGCATTCTTGGCGTGCTCGGGAATGTGTGAGGCCCGTGATGTGTTGACACACCTGGCAGTGCCAAATGCTGAGACTTCTCTTGAAATAATCACAAGCATTGAAGAAAATTTGCAAAAAATAGAACTCTCTTGCCTTGTGATTCACTTTTAAATTAAACTTTTTATTTTGAGGTAGATTCACATGCAGTTGTGAGAAATAATGCAGAGAGACACTGTGTCCCCTCTACCCAGTTTCCCCCGATGTTAATGTACTGCAAAACTCTAGTACCATATCACAGCTGGGATAGCGACATTGATACAGTCGAGACACAGAACATCTCCATCACCACAAGGATTCCTCATATTACCACTTCCTGCCCCTGCGCCCTACTTAACCTCTGGTAACCACTAATCTATTCTTCATTTCTGAAATTTTGTCATTTTTCAAGAATATTATATAAATAGAATCATGCAGTATATAACCTTTTGGGATTGGCTTTTTTCACTCAGCATAATTCTCTGCAGATTCGTTGACATTGTTGCAGGTATCAGAAGTTCATTCCTTTTTCTTGCTGAGCAGTGTTCTGCATTTGTTTAACCATTCATTCGTTGAAGGACATCTGGTTGTTTCCAGTTTGGGCTATTGTGAATAAAACTGCTATAAACATTCATCTATAGCTTTTTGTGTGAATTTAAGCTTTCATTTCTGTGGGATAAATGCCCAGGAGTGTGATTGCTGTGTTGTCTGGTAGTTGCTGTTCAGTTTTATAAGAAACTACCAACCTGTTTTCCATAATGGTGGTACCATTTTACATCCCCACCAGCAATGGCTTCATTGTTATTTAGTGAGTTGTCTGCTTTCCACTGCTTAAAATAATCTACATTCCCACATTTTGGGAACACTGGTATGTAGGATAAATTAGTTTCTCAACCTTGGCAGTGTTGACATCTTGGATCAGATAATTCTCTATTGTGGCTTGTCCTGTGCATTGTGGGATCTTTAGCAGCATCCCTGGCCTCTACCCACTAGATGTCAGTAGCCCCTCCTGCCGCCTCTGAGTGTGACAATCAAAAATGTGTCTAACTATGCCAAATGTTCCCTGGGGGGCAAAATTGCCCCCATTTGAAGACTGCTGGAGTAGTTCAAGGGTAATGGTAAGCGATCAGATTGAAAAGATAAGTTGGAGCCAGATTGTGGAAGGTTCTTTTGAATACTGTGCTCGGAGATTTGGCTATGGATGATTTCTTTCATAGTTGAGTAGGGATGTGATGAGAGTTCTTTAGGAATAGCATTCTGGCAGCAGGGTTAAGGGTAGAATGAAGCAGAAGAGTTTGGGTGCCTGGAGAGCCTTAGGATGTGGTGGTACGGGCAGAGTTAAGAGGACCCGAGTGAATGTAGTGGTAAGGGAGAAAGGGAGCATGTTGGTGAGGATGAGGAATGGGTGTAGAATCTGATAAGGCCTCTATCATTAGCAAAACTGGTGTGAATTGCATTTTTCTGATTTACCTTCTGCTGGAGGCTCAAAGGCATTGTTCCAGAAGGGAAAAATAGAGAAGCAGAAACCAGGAATAGTCTGTAACTGTTCATCAGACCATGGATAATTGAACATTATGTATGCACTGCTGATTATATTAGAAATGTCTTGGGCGTTTCCTTCATTTTGATAACATTTCATTCTTTCTGATATCTGGTTTAATTCTGTCATACTGCTATTGATGGGGAAACTCTGGCACAAAAGGCTGAGTAAATTGGCAGAAATTGCTCAGAAGAATTTGGCGTATAATTTAGCTTTCTCTCTCTTTATAGTTCTCTGTAGCACTGTGCCTTTTAAACTATAATATTTAATTGTTGCCTGTTAACATTTTGTTTGGCTATGTTAGCTGTGTATTGGGTATATATATTAAGTTTTATTTAAGTATCCAGAGTTTTAAAAAACTCCCAGTTCTGTGAAGTAAACTTGTTATTACCGATGGGGATTATGAATTGGTGCAATACTTTCGGAAAGCAGTATGATAATTCAAGAAGTCAGAAAGAGGTTTGTATCTGATTCTAGACATTTATCCTAAGGAAATCAAGATACAAAAGTACATATACAGGACTGTTTGTTGTAGTGTTTAATAGCAAAGAGTTAGAGATAATGTACAGCATCTACAAGAGGAAATGTTTTGCAGACATTAAAAAATATATTTGTAAATATGCAGAAACAGTTGATCTATTAAGTGAGAATGTAATATGACAGATAGATCAAATGTAACCTTGTAAAACTTAAAATTGTTGGGCAGCGACATGATGGGAGTTTTAAGTTATTTTAATCCTTTAATATTCCTGTTCTTTATGATTTAAATATGCACTAGTTCTGAAGATGAAGTGGATGTGCTTTTACATGGAACTCCTGACCAGAAACGAAAACTCATCAGAGAGTGCCTTACTGGAGAAAGTGAATCGTCTAGTGAAGATGAATTTGAAAAAGAAATGGAGGCTGAATTAAATTCCACCATAAAAACAATGGAGGACAAGCTGTCCTCTCTGGAAACAGGTAAACTTTTAGTTAGATTTTCATAGAGATATTTTCCTAAGCTCTTTAAGGGCAGGAACCTTATTTGTGTTCTGTTGTGTCTCCAGCATTTTCAGTAGGTACTCAGTAAATATTTATTGAGTGAATGACTAAATGTGTTTGGCAACCTGAGCATAGTTTTCTTTGATGTCTAGTGAAGAAGTTTCCTGTGTTGTTGAAAAGAAACTATTTGGTACTGTTTACTTATGTGATTTCCTTTTGTAATTTTTACCCCAGGATTAAAAAAAAAAAAGACACACAAGCTTATAGAAGTATTTTTAGGGTTATGTAGCACTGATATGGCAGATTGAATGATGTGTCACCACAAATTCCTGTCTCATTTTAGTAAGTAAGGAGACATACTTCATTTTGATATTTGGTCTTTATGTAAAATGTGCCTGACCTGAAACTGGTTTGTGAAAGTACGACCCCTCAGCCTTGGTTTCTGTGTTGATGTGCTAGTGTATTAACTGTTAAGAACTGAAAGCATATATGATAATAAGAATGAAAGCAAAAGCAGACGTTAAATGAGAGGAAGAATTAGGGATGCAGGCGTATGATGACGTAAGTACAGGTAATGTCGTGGCACAAGGCACAAGAGCAGGAGTCCTTGACTCCGTCCCCTGCCTCTCGGTAAGGCTTTTATCCTCTTTCCCTTAAAGCTTCTTAAAACAAGATGTTTACTCCTGGGTCTCCACAGTATTCTGCATGGCCGAAAGGTAGAGATTGTATGCTGGCAACCTGGAAATATGCCGGTTTTATTTAATTAGATTTATGGGAAGTGAGAGAGAATAGTTTTCTCATGATTTGGAACACTTAATCAAGGAGGAACAGTTCTCTGTGATTGCAGAGAGCGCAGAAATCCAGTTAAGTCATTGACGTGAAAGTATTTTTCCATTCAAGTGAAATTGGGAATGAGTTGGTATTACTTTGAGGTGATAGAAGAATATATGGAGTGTTTTCTTGTCAATTATGTATGGTTTAGTCTGTAAACTTCCCTTGTGGTTTGAATAGGGTCTTCCCTGGGAAATGGGAAAGTTGGAGCAGTTCCCACAAAGTACTATGATGATATATATTTTGATTCTGATTCTGAGGATGAAGACAAAGCAGGTAAGTAACATGTTTACCAGATTTAGCAGTTATATTTTATGAAAAAAGGTTTGCCTAGCAATTATTTGATGTAAGGATTTCCCTGTGAGTTTTATCTTTTAGGAAATTGTGGGCTGGGGCCGGCCCCGTGGCCGAGTGGTTAAGTTCACGTGCTCCACTTCGGCGGCCCAGGGTTTCGCCGGTTTGGATCCTGGGCGCGGACGTGGCACCGCTCATCAGGCCATGTTGAGGCGGCGTCCCACATGCCACAACTAGAAGGACCCACAACTAAAATATACAACTATGTACTGGGGGGATTTGGGGAGAAAAAAGCAGGGGGAAAAAAAGAGAAATTGCAGGCCCTTGATGTGAAAACAAAAGCTGGATTGATGAATCAGAACAGATGGGAATGCGTACGTATGAAGACATGGGACCAACAGCTGTGCTGCGTAGCCACCCCTGGGGAGAGGGAGAGTCTGTCCCCACTCAGGACCTCCTTCCTCGGGGCTCCTGGTTCTCTTCCCTCAGGTTCCTTAGAGTGCAACATGTGCTGTCACACCTGCAAACAGTGTCTATATTTTTACTCTCTTGCAGAATTTTTCCTGACTCGTTGCTTTTTTTTAATCAATCTCTCTGTTCCTTGGATTTGATTTTCTATAAAATTTGAGCAAAGTTGAACAAACAAGAGCTAAAACTAATCATATCAGTAATTGCACTGGAATATACCAATAACAAATTTATTAAAGAAGTAATTTTGTATTTTTATATATTATTGCCTAAATATTGACCTGCTCAAGTACATTTTAAAAGTCTAGTGTATATGGATGACCATAGTTTTTTTTTTTCACTCATTTTGAGATAACTTTTGTTCTGATTTCAGTAGCATATATATATGGGAATATATATAGTAGAGAATTTAAACATCAAAAATAGTTTCTATTCTGGCTTGATTTGAGTGGCCTTTTTGAGACTCTGAATTCTCATTGTTTGGGCTCACTTTTTGAGCTACCAGTTTTTGGTGAAGAAACAGTTTTTGCCTCCTCTGGCATAATTTTCGTGCCGTATTAATTTGACAAGAACTTTATTTGGAGGAATAGTTTAAAAAATGTTTTTAGGAAAATAGAAAAAAATATATAGCTTAGGAAACTGGATTCTTCATTCTGTATTAAAGAGATGTGAACTTTAGACATGATGCTTAGCCACATCCTTAACATTTTCAAAATTAGCACAGGTGACCAAGAAGAAAAAGAAGAAACGACACAGGATTCCAACAAATGATGAATTGCTGTATGATCCTGAGAAGGATAACAGAGATCAGGCCTGGGTTGATGCGCAGAGAAGAGGGTAAGAACTTAAGTTTAATATTTAGAATCTTTAGAAAAAATAATTTTCACTACATTCATATTTTGAATGTATGTGTATATGTTTATACAGACATAAACAGAGAAGTTTTAGAAAAAACAGCTGAATAGTTTATTTTGAAAATAGCTAGCAAGTTGCTGTCAGACAATTGATTTTTAAAAAACGGTTGTTGAGGGCCTGGCCCCATGGCTGAGAGTTTAAGTTCGTGCCCTCTGCTTGGTTGGCCTGGGTTTCACCGGTTTGGATCCTGGGCGTGGACATGGCACTGCTCCTCAGGCCATGCTGAGGTGGTGTCCCACATAGCACAGCCAGAATATACAACTGTGTAGTGGGGCCTTTGGGGAGAAGAAAAGAAAAAAAGATGATTGGCAATAGATGTTAGCTCGGGTGCCAATCTTTAAAAAGAAAAGAAGCAAAGAAAAAAAACCCATTGTTAAATTCAAACTGCTGTAGTCAGTTTTTCCATTCAAGAAACGAGGCTGACTTTTTTCAAATGGTCGCAATTTAAAATTACTGGGAGATAAAATTTATGAGGGTGAAGAATGGATGTTATCTTTTGTGCTTGAATTGTTTTTTTTAACTGTTTACAAATTTGATTTTTTAAATTGAGGTGAAATTCACATAACCTAATTAACCATTTTGAAGCGAACAATTTGGTGGCATTTAGTATATTCACAGTGTTGTGCAGTCACCACCTCTATTTAATTTCACGGCGTTTTCATCATCCCAAGAGGAAACTCCATGGTCCTTTTCAAATTTGATTTTATAAAGGCCATTATGTTCCCTCCTCCACGCTCCTCCTTTTTCTGTTCTAGCTACCATGGTTTTGGAATGCAGAGGCCTCGTCAACAACAGCAGCCTGTTCCAAATAGTGATGCTGTCTTGAATTGCCCTGCCTGCATGACTACACTGTGTCTTGATTGTCAAAGGTAATAAAGTGTAACAACACATACACACACACAAAACAAAGAAACAACTTGGTTGTCCTTTGTTTAAATCTGAAATAGACTTGAGGTACTTAGGAATTCTGATAAAGTTCTGTACTCATATATCCTTGGTGCTACATGACTGATCTTCATACAAATAATTATGCTTATCTGTAGTTCTGTTGTAAGTAGCTTTTCTAATAAAGCACTTGCCAGTGCTGACAAGAATTCAGTGAAGGGGCTGGCCCCGTGGCTGAGTGGTTAAGTTCGCGCACTCAGCTGCAGGCGGCCCAGTGTTTCATTGGTTCGAATCCTGGGCGTAGACATGGTACTGCTCATCAAACCATGCTGAGGCAGTGTCCCACATGCCACAACTAGAAGGACCCACAACGAAGAATATACAACTAGGTATCAGGGGGCTTTGGGGAGAAAAAGGAAAAAAATAAAACAACAACAACAACAAAAAAAAGAATTCAGTGAAACTGTATATATGTTGTGAATGACATAATCTCTCAAATACACTCTTTTTTTAATTGTGATAAAATATATGTAACATAAAATTTACTATTTTAACCATTTAAAAAATTTTTCTGTTGAATATTTTATTTGAATATTCAGCTTATTGTCAACTATACTATTTTTTAAAATTTTTTTCCAGTTTTATTGAGATATAATTGACATATAACATTGTGTAAATTTAAGGTGTACAATATGATTTGATATATGTGCATTGCAAAATGATTATCACAATAAGATTAGTTAATACATCCTTCACCTCGCATAGTTACTTTTTTTGTGTATTGGTGAAAACCTTTGAGATCTACTCTCTTAGCATCTTTCAGATATGCAATATGGTACTGTTAGCTATAGTCATCATGCTGTACATTGCATTCCCAGAACTCACTCATCTTGTAACTGGAAGTTTGTACCCTCTGACCATCTTCATTCATCCCCCCCACCCACATCTACTCTCTTTTTCTGAGTTCAGTTTTTTTAGATTCCACATATAAGTGAGATCATAGAGTATGTAGTTTTCCGTATATAGATCTTTCACCTCCTTGGTTAAATTTATGCCTAAGTATTTTATTATTTTTGATGCTATTGTGAGTGGGATTGTTCTCTTAATTTCTTTTTCAGGTAGTTTGTTGTTAGTATATAGAAATGCAACTGATTTTTGTATATTGATTTTGTGTCCTGCAACTTTGCTGAATTCATTTATTCCAACAGTTTTTTGCTGGAGTCTTTAGAGTTTTTGAAGATCTTGATCTATAAGATCATGTCCTCTGCAAACAAAGACAATTTAGTTTCTTTCTTTCCTATGTGGATACCTATTTCTTATTCTTTCCTACTTTCTCTGGCTAGGACTTCCAGTACTGTGTTGAATAGGACTGGTGAGAGTGGCCACCCTTGTTTTGTGCCCTGTTTTAGCCATTTTTAAGTGTACAACTCAGTGACGTTAACTATATTCACAGTGTTGTGCAGCCATCACCACTATCCAATTCCAGAACTCTTTCATCATTCCAACCAGAAACTTTGTACCCATGAAGCAATAATTCCCCATTCTTTACCCCTACCCACTCCAGTCTCTGTTAACCTCGATTCTGCTTTCCTTTTCAGATTGTTCATTGCTAGTGTAGAGAAATACAACAGATTTTTTTGTGTGTTGATTTTGTACCCTGCAACTTTACCGAATTCATTTATTTGATAACAGTTTTTTTGTGTAATCTTTAGAGTTTTCTATATATAAAATCATGTCATCTGTGAACAAAGATAATTTTACTTCTTTCCAATCTGGATGCCTTTTATTTCTTTTTCTTACCTAATTCCTCTGATTAGAACTTCCAGTACTATGTTGAATAGAAGTGGTGAAAGCAGGCATTTTTTTCTTGTTTCTGATCTCAGAGGAAAAGTTTTCACTCTTTCATCATTGCTTGTGATGTTAGCTTTGGGTTTTTCATATATATAGCCTTTATTGTATTGAGGAAGTTTCCTTCTGTTCCTAGTTTATTCCGTTTTTTAATCACGAAAGGATATTGAATTTTGTCAAATGCTTTTCTGCATCAGTTGAGATGATCATGTGTTTTTTCCCTTCATTCTGTTAATCCAAATATACTCCCTGCCTTTTCCTTTTTTCCCCCCTTTTTTGGTGGCCTTATAAATGCCTACCTTAGTCCATGTTCTGAATCGAGTTAACTGAAACTAAGCAATGATGTAGGTGGTGGATTTGTTCTAGGAACTAATGAGTACCCAAAAGCAGTTTATTCTTATTAGCTAGCTTGAGGTTTTTTTTTTTATCGTCTGCAACAATTAATTTCTGTACTCATATGAGCTCTTAAGCGTTTTGTATTGTTGCCCACAGCCGCAAAGGGCGAGGAACGACAGGTACCGCCAAGGCTACTTGGTTGTTTAAGCAATCAAAGTTTATTGGTAAAGGGAAACAGAACAAGGACCAGGGATAAAGGGGAACAACAAATCAGTACTTACAACATCCACACCATAATCAGCCGGGGAAGTCCCAATAGTTTGTAGGGCGGGTGGGAGTGCCGATTGTCCAGGTCTGAGGCAAAGTGTCCTTTCCTCAGTGAGACTTCCCAGGCTGATTATGGTGTGGATGTTGTAAGTACTGATTTGTTGTTCCCCTTTATCCCTGCTCCTTGTTCTGTTTCCCTTTATCAATAAACTTTGATTGCTTAAACAACCCAAGTAGCCTTGGCGGTACCTGTCATTCCTCGCCCTTTGCGGCTGTGGGCAACATGTATATAAATCAACACCTAGAATATGTTATTGAAAGAAAGAAAAAATAAAATGTCTTTGTACTTAAGCTGCTTTTCTTCCAAAGTAAACGGTGTTACAGGGTTCCCATACTCAAAAGAAATTGCTTCATGATCTAACAGTGGAAATTGACCTTAATAAAAATTGTTTTCTGGTGGGCCGGCCCCGTGGCTGAGTGGTTGAGTTCGCGTCCTCTGTTTCGGCAGCCCAGGGTTTCGCCTGTTTGGATCCTGGGCGCGGACATGGCATCACTCATTGGGCCATCTTGAGGCCTCATCCCACATGCCACAACTGGAGGGACCTACAACTAGAATATACAACTATGTACTGGGGGGATTTGTGGAGAAAAATCAGAAAAAAAAAAAAAAAGATTTGCAGTAGTTGTTAGTTCAGGTGCCAATCTTTAAAAAAAAATTGTGTTCTGTATTAATATAGGATTCCAGTACAGTGGTGTATAAATGAAGTTTTTATAGTTTTATCTGGAGAAGCACTGGCTTGCACAGTCTTAAATTCCTGGTGGTTGGGGGGTGATGCGGTGGTGGTAGAGATCAACATTTGTAACTAACGAGTGCATAACTTGAGTTCATTGTTCTTAGCCAGACAGGTATTTCTGTTACATGAAGTTCAAGGGGAAAAAAAAGAAAAGCAGCTTGCTAAGTGGAGAAAGATGTAGGAAACTATTAAGTATATGAGGAGAACAAAGGAAGCATTGTCTGTTCATTAGACTGCAGGAATAAGGCCAAGAGTGGGCATTATGAGGTCAGAAGCTCTTTAACCTATTAAAAGTAGCTTTTACTAAAATGGTAACCAGATGGTACCATCTGGAATGAGAGGTGGGCAGAGTCTCAGGCCACAACGGGAAAAGACACAAAGATTATTTAAACGTCACCTCTCAAGTTTTTCTGCAGCTTTTCTTGTTCTCAATTTGAGAAGCAAATCAATTTTTTCTGAGAGAAAAGTTACTTTTAAGGCAGTAGAAAGGAAGATATATTCATTCTTTATACTATCATTTATTAACAAGTTTCTTCCTATTCTTAAAATAGCTCTTAAATTTCTTTACCTTTCCTATTTTGTTCTTGTGTCTTTACTTTGGTTGGTATTTCAGTTTTCGGTGTTCTCAAATTTTATCTAAATGGATAATTATTAAAACAGAACATAAATTGAAATTCTCCATTTCATTTTCTTCTTAGACATGAATCGTACAAAACTCAATATAGAGCAATGTTTGTGATGAATTGTTCTGTCAACAAAGAGGAGGTTCTAAGATACAAAACCCCAGAGAACAGGAAGAAGAGGCGAGGCCATAAGAAGATGAGGACCAACCGTGAAGATGCTGCAGAGCAGGCAGAGACGGAAGTGGAGGAAATCTATCACCCAGTTGTGTGCACCGAGTGTGCCACTGAAGTGGCAGTCTACGACAAGGATGAAGTCTTTCATTTTTTCAACGTTTTAGCAAGTCATTCCTAAGTAGCTAAGTTGGCGTTTAATTGCCCAATACTGTGTATAAGGCAAGTATGGACAGTTATTTTTCTCCTGCCTCTTCATATCAAGTGACATTCTAGTGGTTGTGTTTTGTCTTTATCTTTTTGAAAGAGAATGGTTATCATCCTTCATCCCTCCCCCTCCTTTTTTAAAAACTTTTCCACAGCTCTGATGGGACTGGTAATTCATTCCTTTTTGATGGACCTTTGGAAACTGTGGGGCTTTTTATTTATCAAAGCCCTTTAAAATTAAAGTGTTCTGGAGTTACAAGTAATCTTTGTTTCAGAGTGGTATTTTTTATTTTGGATATACCCTTGGTGTGATCAAATTAGAAACTGTTTCCTGACTTCTGTGTGTATTGTTTTTGCTAGGAAGTATCTTTATTTTCCTTCTACCCCATGTGAGAGAATGACAGTATTTAGTAACTGTTACAATTACATGGGGTTAGTATTGCCATTTGCCTTGAGTAATTAATTTAGGTCTTTCCCTAAAAGGATTGTACTTAACAGTATTCTAAACTTAATGAATTTACATAATAAGACAGAAATTTGTGATGAGGAAGAGCAACCTCACCCTCTGGCCTTGGACTTAAAAATCCTGTTGCTTCCTTTTGTGCCTACCATTTGTCCTGGAATTTTTTTTGGCCAGCAACCAAGGTATTTTTTTTTTTTTTTTGCTATTAATAATATAAAAATCATTAGTGGCAGCTAGGAGGAAATGTAGGCATCTGCACATTTTAGTTTTTTAAAAGAATATGATGGGACTGTTTGTAA